AATGGTAAAGTTTGTTGTTGGATTATGTCCAAAAGAGGGGTTCGTCAAGGCGACCATTTATCTCCTCTTCTCTTTGTTTTGGCTGCTGACTCCTTTACTAGGATGATGAACTTGGCAGTTGAGTCTTTCCTTATTGAGGTTTAGGTCCTAACAATATGACTCATAAAATTTGTTGTTTACAATATGCTGACGATACATTGATTTTTTGTAAAAACAAAAAAGAGCAGTTGACAGTTTTGAAGATGATCTTATATTGTTTTGAACTTGCTTCTGGATTAAAAATAAGCTTTAATAAGAGTATTCTTATTGCTCTTGAGGATAATGAAACTTTGCAACAGAATTTGGCTATTATGTTGAATTGTAAAAGTGGGAGTTTCCCCATTACTTACCTTGGAATTCCTTTGAGACCTGGAAAATTAAAAAAAGAAGACTAGTCTCCTTTGATTGAGAAGATAGAAAGAAGGCTAGCCTTGTGAAAAGGAAAGTCTTTGTCAAGAGGGGGCAGACTTGTTTTAGTCAATTCTGTTCTTTCATCTATGCCAATTTTTTGGCTATCTTTCTTTGTTTTTCCTATGTGGCTTATTGACAAAATTGATAAAATGAGAAGGAGATTCTTGTGGACTGGATCTCTTGATCATAAAGGCTCTTCTAATTTGGTCAAATGGGAGGAGGTTTGTAGACCTAAAAATTTTGGAGGTTTGGGTGTAATAAATTTAAGAGTTATGAACAAAGCTCTGTTGGGGAAATGACTTTGGAAATGGTTTGATAATAAACTAGAACTTTTGAAGCAAATCAGTTTCTACAAGTATTTTGAGAGAAGAAATTGGACAGAATTTTTTTATTCTGGTAGGAATTTATTAACTCAGTTTTGGAGGAATTGTTTTGATAATGTTGAGAGTTTTTTATGCAGTTCTGTTGTGGAGGTGGGGAGGGGTAATCGAACTTTGTTTTGGCTTGACAAATGAGTAGGTTCTTCTAACCTTGCTTCTAAGTATCCTTCCCTTTTTAACATCACTTCTTCTCCTTTTGCCTCCATTAGCAGTTTGAGCTTCCCTTTTTAACATCACTTCTTCTCCTTTTGCCTCCATTAGCAGTTTGAGAAAGAAAGTGAATGATGAATGGATATGGAATATCCAGTTTAGAAGATTAGCAGTTTGAGAAAGAAAGTGAATGATGAATGGATATGGAATATCCAGTTTAGAAGGCAATTGACTGAAAATTTGGTTTTCCAATATTTCAAATTGTTGAATGATATTAGAGAGTTAATCTTTGATCAAAGGGAGGACGGGAGGATATGGTTTTGGGGAACTAAAGGCAGTTTCACAGTTAAATCATATTATCAGTTTCTTATGGATGAGGGTTTAAGATTTGATTTTGCAAATCTCTGGCAGCTTCCTGTCCCTTTAAAGGTGAAATTTCTTGTTTGGTTGGCATTAAGTCAAGGTTTAAATACAAAAGATAATTTAGAGAAGAAGGGAATTCATCTGGATTTGATGTGCAGCTTCTGTTCTAAAGAAGTGGAAAGTCATTTTCATTTGTTTGTGGAGTGTGAGTTTGTATACTCTATCTGGAGATCTATCCAATATAAATTGAAGATTGAAAAGGATTTTAGATTGAACTCCCTAAAAGAGATTTGGATTAATTGGTTTATGGGAGAAGATGATAACAGTAAGGTGGAAAGACATGTTACTATCTGTTCTCTTATATGGTGTATTTGGCAGGAACGTAACGATAGAATCTTTTCTAACAAAAGGAAAAGATCCCTAGAGATTTTGAGCAAAATTTTGACATTTTTATCATTTTGGTTAGGTTCTAAACCTATAACTGCGCGAGCTGCTAGGCTTCAAGAGAGGAGAAGGAAAAGAGCTGCTGAAGGACATGTCGATGCTGGAGGAATTGCGAGTACAGTGATTCAACTTGAATGATTCTTAACTCCAGATTCTTGAAGTTTTTTTGGTTCTTGAGTTTTAAAACTCTGGTTAAAGATCCAGTGATCTGCTATTTTTTTTTTGGTAGTAGTTGATAGCTTCTTCTTTGCTTTGGGAAAGGATAATCCTATGTTGTGGAGCAGGAGCTCTTTTGATTTGTAATTTTTGTTTGAGCTAGAGTACACACTCTTGGTTGGGGGTGTGTATCGGTTTGTAACAACCAAGTTTTAATATTAATTTAGCTGGCTGAATTACTGTTATGATTAACAGTAATTCATCCTTTTTCTCAAAAAAAAATTTCTCCTCTTGACTCCTGATGACCAAGGAGAGTTCTTTCTCCATTTTTTTTTTTAACCTAGGGGATGCATGTTCAAGACTATAAGAAATAGAGGGTCTCATATTAATATAATGGGAATATGGGGATTTCTCTATGTTTCGTTTTATTTTGTTATTAACTATTTTATTTTGGGGGTTGTGTAGTCAAAATAGTTCCACTTTGATCCACAAAAAAAATGAACCCATCAAAGTGATGGCACTGCGTGTTTTGATATATCACAGACACAAAGTTATATCGATATATCACGGACACAAAGTTATATCGACAGAATTTATACAGATTACTTAGTTTATAGAAACTGCAAGGTCGTTAATCACAACTTAAAAATTATCGCATTTGAAAATTAACCATAAGTCAATCAGTCTGCGGCTATGAACTAATAGCGCTACTCGATGAACTACTAGTATTTGTTTTCTTGGAAGTTTCAGGTGCAGCAGTACTTTAAATATCAAAGATTTTTTTTTAAATTTTTATTTAATTTTTTGATAAGATATATCATATGATTTTTTTTAGTTCATAGACTCTGCGCTATGAACTAATAGCGCTACTCGATGAACTACTAGTATTTGTTTTCTTGGAAGTTTCAGGTGCAGCAGTACTTTAAATATCAAAGATTTTTTTTTAAATTTTTATTTAATTTTTTGATAAGATATATCATATGATTTTTTTTGTCTTAGGTGGTGTTTGGTTCAATTTCTACAAATTATAGAAAATGTCTTCCATCCAAAATATGATTTCCTTGTATTTTTTTAAAAAAAATATAGTAAAAGTTTTGAGAAGTCAAAAAGTACCTATTTTTTTGTTTTTTGTACTTTGCTTGTTTGGTTCAAAATGGCCCATAACTTTATAGAAAATAGCAAGATTTTTTATAATTTGTAGAAATTGAACCAAACATTACCTAAATTTATAGAAAAGTGTCAACTTTATAGAAAAATGTTAATGGGACGTCAGATTTCTGGGTGATTTTCGTTCATTTTGAGAGGAAATTGATTTCTGTAAATTTTGGTACTATTCTGTACTTTACAGAAAACATTTCTGTAAATTTTTTTTGAACTAAACACAGTTTACGTAAGTTGTTCTCATTTCCAAAAATTTGGGCGTCTTTCCCTGTATTTGCGTAGACAATTGGGATGTGGTTACTTGGAAGTGACTCAGCTTATTCCTGTGCATATTGAGTTCCATGTAATCTACCATTGTAGATGTAGACAGCATCATCGGTATTTTTTATGGGAAATTGCCGTGAACAATATACAGAAAATACGTAACATGAATTTCTTGATTTGCTTCAAACTCTTTAAAGGTTAATATTCGGCACAAATACAGGAAATATGAAGAAAATATGAAGATGCTTTAAAGGTTAATATTCGGCACAAACCGTGAAATATCTCAATTACAAATAAAGAACATCAAATTGGAAATATTCGGCACAGGTAAGATAATCGATTTGCACCATAGAGAATCTTTTTATTTGGGAAAGAAATTACATCAAATTGGAATTCTATTTAACTCGAACCTTTTAAAAAGCCTTCGTCCTTCTCATCGCCAAAAAATAAAACAAATATCACGTCGAAAGGTCTTTCACTCTTTTCATTACCAAAAACAAGACATCGAACAGGAACACTTGTAATCTTTGCTAATACTTCATTCACTCGCTATTCGACCAGTTGCATTCTCAAACTTTAAAACTCACACAAAAAAAATATCTGATTAGCGTTAAAAGAGAATACGGCGATGTTGCTACGGCTGATGAGGGGGCGGAGGGAGAGGGGATGACGTAGGTTCTATTTTAGGTAAGGCTGAAGGTGTAAACCACTCATGCTCAGATGCCAAATTCGAAGGATTGTCACTCATCGTTCTTTATCTTTAAACAATGGCCGGAGAGCAACCACACCGTTGATACAGGGAGAGTATCTGCTTATCACCCCGTAACTATAGATCGTTACATAGAATTTGCCTTCCTTTCCCGTCTCGGAACAGACGAACAAGACTTAATGAGAATACTCCCTACTCAACTTGAAAGTCAAAGCAATTTTTTTTTTTTTTGCTCGATTGGGTTGAAAATTAACATGGAGGATATCAAGATGAAAAAATGTTCGAGGGAGAGCGTCTACTTAAAGCATCTCCAAGACTCTTGAGAGTGATGTGGCAAGGAAAAAACTCCTAAGACCATATGCAGCAGAGGTTATTTGAAGAGATATTTGGTTGCAGCAGGAGTTTTTTGAAAAGGTGAATCAAAAAGACAAGGCCAAGGGGTGAAAAATTCACCCCGGGTATTTCTGACCTGGTGGGCCCCACCTCATTAAATGCATGGCAGGTTTATTAAAAAAAATTAAATAGAAGTCGCCCAATCAGAAACGGGCACGTGGACGCGTGCATGGAGGCTGCAGGTGCATGCCTGCTAGCTGTCGCGTGGCGAAATCTGATTGGGCGGCAATTTTTGTTTTCCTCCTTATTTTTAATTGATATTTTTTGAGATAAATACAATGAATTAATTTATAATTTTTATACCATTAATTTTCATTTTTCAAACTCTATAAATAGAGATTAACTTTGTGCCGTATATGATGCAACCAAATTTCGGCATGCAATATCCTTATCTTCCTTACGGTTATCCTCCAGTTCCGGGAAGCAGCTATGTTCCCTCCCATATGAATTGTCCTAACACGGAGTCGAGTGAGCCAGCGACACCCCGGTTTAGTAGCGGATCTACAGATATCCCAGAATTTTCTACCCAAATGTCTTTGGGAAATGTTGGTGGGGATACTCCTCACAGTTTTCTCCCTCCAACCCAACAATCAGCAAAGAGATCAAGTTATGAAACTTGGACCACCGAAGACAACATACTTTTACTAACTGGTTATTTTCACGTTAGTAATGATAGTGAGTTGGGGAACAACCAAAAGGGTGAAACTTTCTGGGGTAAAATTACACAGTACGTGAATGAGAACGCCAAAAGTGGAAAGGAGAGGATTGTGTCTCGGTGCCATAGTCATTTCAAAGACATCAACAGAAACATATCCAGTTTCATTGGCTGCTACAGTACTGCATGTAGGGAGAAGCGTAGTGGTTGGTCCGATGAAACTACATATCCAAGGCAAGAGAGTTGTACTTTGAGAAAATGGGTACGACGTTTAATTTGGTGGATGAGTGGAAGGTGGTTCGTAATCAACCTAAATATATGACAGGAGGAAATGCATCCGGTAGTAGTGGCTCTAAAAGAAAGAGTAGTGGTGAGGATGTTGAATCATCAACTCCTACCCTTGTACGTCCAGAGGGTAGGGACGTGGCAAAGAAGAAAGCTAGAGGTTCCTCTAGTAAAACATCTGTGTCAAGGAAATCAAAGGGGGCAATTGAGGAGGAATTATCTAAGCTAGTCAGTGCTCATGAAAAATTTGAAGAGAAAAGATCAAGTACTGCTTCAGCTATGAATAACCTGGCTCATTCCAATAATATGGAGATGTTGGTTATTCTTGAAAAACAAACCAGATCGTGACGATGAAGATGAAGAAGCTTATAATATGTTGAGGAAGAACCTGTTTGGAAAATAAGACCTTCTTAAGAAGTTATGATTGTGTGTTTTCTTTCTGATGTTTTTGTGTGTCGTTTGTTTAATTTTGGAGTTGTGTGGGTGCCTATGTTTGTTGAATGTATTAATAAAAGTGTTGTTTATGTTTGAATAAAATTGTTGTTTATGGTTCAATAAAGCCGATTGATATTGACTTCTCACTGCATAATAGTACAAAAGATACAATTACTACTCACTGCAAAAACAAACAAATGTTGAATTGACCTTTCACTGCAAAAAATACAAAGGATGAAATGACTACACCTGCATAATAATACAAAATATGAATTGACAACTCTCTGCACATGCATGCCCTATGACACATGTCTCTGCAATTGCATGTGAATTCAATTATTTGAACAACTACCCTTCATTATATAAACTGATCAGATGCACATCATAAGTATACCTATCAACATTTCAAAAATCATAGCATCCAATGGATCCTTTCCTAAATGAGTTTAGTCTAGAAGAGTTCCAACAACAATGGGAAATAGAAGAAAAAATACTTGATAGGCAGCGAGAACTTCTTGAAGAATTGCAAAGGAGAAGCGAACAACCACGTAAGAGGAAATCCATACATAGAGATCATCATGCAGCGCATGAGAGACTCATGGCCGACTACTTTGCCGAGTCATGCACTTACACTGACTCCCAGTTCTGACGCAGGTATCGAATGAAAAGGCCTCTCTTTCTACGAATTGTGGACTCTATATCAAATTACGACGATTACTTCACACAACGGCGCAATAATGCGGGCAAGCTTGGGTTAACGCCTATCCAGAAGTGTACGGCTGCCATACGCATGCTCGCATATGGAGTCGCAGCCGATGCTTGTGATGAGTACGTCAAGATAGGAGAATCCACTGCTATCGAGTGTACTCGCAAGTTTTGCGAAGGGGTAATAGCATTGTTTCAAGATGAATACTTACGACGACCAAATGTGGAAGACTTGCAGAGGTTGCTCCAAGTTGGACAGGAACGTGGATTCCCAGGGATGATTGGAAGTATTGATTGCATGCACTGGCAGTGGAAAAATTGTCCTAAGGCTTGGCAAGGGCAGTTTACTAGTGGACACAAGGGGACGGCAACAGTTATCCTCGAGGCAGTTGCGTCATATGATTTGTGGATATGGCATGCTTTTTTAGGGCTTCCTGATAGTTTGAATAACATAAATGTACTAGATAGGTCACCGGTTTTTGACGACATTGAGTCGGGTGAAGCTCCACGGGTAAACTTCACCGTGAATGGGCGGGAGTACAATCTTGCATACTATCTTGCCGACGGAATCTACCCTAAGTGACCTGTCTTCGTGCAGCCAATTCAAATGCCCCAAGGCAACAAACATCAATTTTTTGCCAAACAACAGGAATCATGCAGGAAGGACGTGGAACGCGCATTCGGGGTACTCCAAGCACGCTTCGCTATTGTCCGCCAACCAGCTAGAATGTGGGATCTTGATGTCTTTGGAAAAATAATGAGGGCGTGCATTATTTTACATAACATGATAGTAGAGGATGAACGAGATACGTATTCACGAAACTGGGAAAATATCGACTTTGAACCGTCGAACAATGTTAGCTCTAGCGCCTCTTTCAATGTTCAAACAGACGTGTTACCGGAGTTTCAAGTCCATGTTCAACACCGATCTGAGGCAGATAATCAGACTAGAGCGGAACTACGAGATAAGACCCAACATATTCAGCTGAAGAAGGATCTCATCGACCACATTTGGCAGAAGTTTGGGACAACCTCCGATTAGATTTAGCAATTTAGTGTGTGTTTTCTTTAATGTTTTTAATAATTTGGGTGTGTTTCGTTTTCCGTATGCTTAATAAAATCGTGTGTTATTTTATGTTAATTTAAAAATATTATTAAAAATTAAATTAATAATATATATTTAAATATTATATATTATTTATTGAATTATTAATAAATTATAATTATAAATATATGAGTTATATTAATAATAATAATAATAATAATAAAATAGTAATATATATGAAATAGGAAAAAGAATGAATAAATATGGTGTGGTATATGTTGAAGTGGTGTGGTTATGGTGGGTCCCAAATAAAGTAAAAAACTTTCTGAAAAATCTCCTGCTGTAGAGTTGATAGGGAAATGAAGATTATTGAATTAAATAAAGTGATGTGGCAGGAGAGAAGGAGGTGAAATTTCACCTCCTGCTGGAGATGGTCTAAGGTGCTCCAACAAACTCTCAAGCACCCTCCTAAGTCCTAGTTGGCGGTGAGGCCCACCATAGAGCTCCTAAGAGCTCCACAAATTTGTGGAGCACTTGGGAGCTCCTAAGGGGTGCGGGTCCACTAAAAATTAATTTTTATTAGATTTACTGTTTTAAAAATATATTTATAAAATGTTTTTTTTAGGAGAATGGATTTTTTAAATAATATTTGAGCTCCTAGTTAGGAGTTTGGTGGAATATTTCTCCTTGTAAGGACCTCCTAAGTGAGCCCTATGCTTGAGAGCACTCCAACAAGAGCTCCCTACTAGGAGATTGTTGGATATGCTCTACAACTTGAGTTTGGGTAGTAATAGGTGCTTGCCATGTTATTTAAATAATTATTCTATTGGTAGAAGTAATGTAGATGAAATCGTTTAATCTTTCTTAACTGTTCTTATAAATATTTAGGATACATGTAGAACTTCTTTTACATTTTTTTTCCTTTTTGAAATTTAGAACTTCTTTTACTGTTAAAAGATTTACCATCCTGACTTTAATTAATTGCTTTTAAATAATATTGATTTTTCCCTATTATTTTTTACTCCATTTGGTTTAGTTTCTTGATAGTTTTTACCAATGTGATTTGCGAGAGATTGTTAGGATTGTGTCTTTGATTCTTTGTATAACTTCAAGAGAATTAGATACGGTTAGAGATCTATCATGATTAAGAGATCGAGTCTTCATTATAATTAGGAGTTTGAATCCTATTCTAATTAGAAAGTTGGCTAGAGATAGGGTTTTGATTTCCCTATATATATTCTTCTATTGTTGGAGGAAAAACAAAGCAGAGGAGAGAGAGCCAATATTCTTGTAATCTACAGTTAGCAGAGGGCGTAACCTGATTCAAGAATATTGTGTGAGAGGCGAATGTTTCGTAGTCTTTGTCTGTGCAAAAGATTACATCATCGAGAGAGAGTTTTGCAGTCTTTGTCCGTTCAAAAGATTGTAAGGAGAGGACTTTGGAGATAATATAAGAGTTGATTATGTATGTGAGGTTGAGAGATTAAGAGACGAGAGTTAAGTGGTTCCTCTTGTAGTTCTCCCTGATACATAGTGGATTTCTCGTATTGTTGCTCGTGGACGTAGGTCGAAGGTGGTAAACTGAACCACGTAAATCTCGGTGTTCTTTCTTCTTGATTACGGTTAATTTCTATCTTATTGATTGTAGGTTAGCTTCCGAGTTGTGGAGATCGTAGTAGGCGGCGTGACTAAAATTCCCCAACAAGTATTATAGGCATAAACATATCTAACAGTTTTTTTTATCAGTCACAATAGAAATGTACTTGATAGAAAAACTCATATCAAGGGGCACAAAAAATCCACAATCTTGAATTTTGTATTGAACATATAGAAAAATCAACTGAAAATTCCAAAAAAGCCACATATTCTTGAATTTCTTAAAGATCATACAAAGATAAAATTAAGTCTGATTTAATGTGATCTGTATGCATCAATAGAAAATGATGGATTAATCGACCATTATGACTACAGGTGGTAAACGATCGAATCGAATTGAATACTAAGGTGTTCGTATTTGTATTTGTTTACAATCATTGAATGCGAATGCAGACTCTAATATTCATGTATGGAGTTTTTCAAATTCGAACTCGAATACTTGATATTTGATAAATATCCATAAATATTTATAAATATTTATCTAATATCAAAGTATATTTATTCCACTAAAAAAATTAATTTTTAAATACTACTTAAATTCATAAATAAAAAATTAATCCTTCTTAATATATGATGTATATATATTTAAATCGATTTTTTTGTTAGAAAATAGATTTAATATTATTTAAGTCTTAAAATTAGTACATAAAACTTAATTAAAAATACTAAGTGGGTTAAAAATATGACATCATGTGTGCAACAATACAAATAATAAGTGATCAAATTTTAAACAAGTATCTGTTGGATAAACAAATCAAATATATATCTGGTTAAATTCTATTCGTTAGTAAACTCAAATGCTAACAAAATATTTGATTAGTGTTAAATAAACTACCGAATCGAATATGATCAAATAGTTACTCGAACAATTATCGTACTATTTCTTAATTATTTGGTTCGTTCTCGCCCCTAACTATGACCAGACAAATATACTGAAACGTGGGCTCGTCATACTAACAAAATTTCAAAAATATTTGTAGAAAACCTTAAAAAATAGAAAAAAATATATTTTATTTGTTTTGTCTTTTTTATTTATTTTTAGGAAAGCATGATTACTAAATACTATCGTACGTTACTACAACTACAATCAATAAGGGAGACTCATACACCATTTTTCAACATTATCGCTGTCTTAAAAAAACAAGGAAAAATTGCTTCAAGGCCCCAAATTTATATTTTTAATATGCTCTAGCCCCCCTAACTTTCAAACATGTGCTGCAGCCCCACCTTTTTGAAAAAATTATTAAAAGCCCCTCTCCCCAAGTTCCTATGCAAACTTTATACACAATCCCCATTTTACCCTCCCCTACACACCCCTCCTCCTCCTCCGTTCCCCCTCTGCCTCCGCCCCGCCTCCCTCCCCTCCCCCTACACCTCCTCCCCCCCCCCGCCTCCCGATGCACCTCCTTCCTCCTCCTTCGGTCCCCCTTTGCCCCTTCCCCGCTCCGTCGCCAGCGCGTCCCGAGGAACTTCGCGTGGGCACATTAATGTTAACTCTTTTTCTGTAACATGTTAACTCTTTTCTGTAACATGTTAACTCTTTTCTATTAACTGTTAACTCTTTTCTGTAACATGTTAACTCTTACAGCTAACATGTTAGCTGTAAGAGTTAACATGATAGCTGTAAGAGTTAACATGTTAGCTGTAAGAATTAACATGTTATCTGTAAGAGTTAACATGTTACAGAAAAAAGTTAACATTTTACAGAAAAAAGTTAACATGTTACAGAAAAGAGTTAACATTTTTCAGAAAAGAGTTAACATCCACTGACATAAGAAAGAGGAGGGTAAATTCGGGATTTAAATCAGCTGATATGTCTAATCATGAGCTGGCATGTCTAATCAAGTGCTGAAATGAGCTGGAATCATGATGGAGGGGCTTGGCCATATTTTTTTCAAAAAGGAGGGGCTAAAGAACATTAAAAAAAAGTAGGAGGGGCTAGAGCATATTGAAAATATAAATTTGGGGCCTAGAAGCAATTTTTCCAAAAAACAAACAGAAGTCTTGTATTCTCTTTTCAGAACCAACTAGGGCACTATTCTACGAACCAAACACAAAAGAAAAAATTTAGATCTTTGAAAAATTCTTAGATTTCTAACATTAATTGTCACAATCCAAAATACAAAACCAACATCCAAACATGAGAAAATTGATATAACTTCTATCAGGGCCCAACCCCTGACCACTTCTTTTACCACCCATGAGAACAGAGTCAATTAACGGAGGAGAGAGGGAAACATAGGAGTTTGAGGAGGAGAAATTGGAGAAGAATAAGAGGTAAGTCTGTCATCTCATTGTTTTGAGAAGCAAACTATTATGCCTCTCATGGGTTATATACACTCTCGTAACATGATTCTCAGCTAAAAGGCACTTAGGGGCCGTTTGGTTTGTGGATTGTATTTTGATGCATGTTATGGCTCTTGAAAAATTCATACTCAAAAGTTTTGTTTGTTTGCAATGGATATTAAACTATATTTTGTGTTATGGATAAAATCTAACCAAATTTTGTTTGGTTGCGCATCCATTTTGTTGACGATATGTGACTAAAGTCACAAACTTTGGTGAAATCAACATAATTTTAGGAAATTTCATTTGATGCATTTATCCTACATGGCAACTCCAAATTCATGGCATAACAAATAACAAACAAAAATTGTATTTGATAAAAATATAGTATTTTAAGCTTGTGTGTTCTAGTTTTCAATACAAAACACATCAAATACATGAAAACAAATAGCCCCTTAAATGCCCTTTTCTTTTACCAACTTTACACTTAAAACCCTAAGTTGTAAAAAGTAGCACTTTGATATGATAAGTTGTAAAATAATGGTACTTTACTATCCTAAATTGTAAAAAATTGCACATAAATACCCTATTGTTTCAACACTTTTACACATATTCTAAATTGTAAAAAAGTAACACTTTAATACATTCTGTTAGTTGTTAGGTATTTCTAAGAATATTTTCATGACAACTGATAAAAGGTATTAACATGCCAAGCATTCCGACTTAAAAAATTAAAATATTACGTTTTACAATTTATGATATCTAAATGTAAAGATGGTGAAACACATAATTAAATGTCATTTAGCCCGTGATCCTCTATAGCTGTGCAACCTGGGTCGTGGGAAATGGCGATCTGTTAAAGTGGCGTTATTAGTTTTGGCCTTGCGGGCTTGGGCCTTATCCATTAGCGAGTGCCATAGATAAGTTTGTTACCTCTTTATGGATCATCTCCACTTTTAAATGCAGTAAACCATTTACTTTTTATTATACTCGTTGATTTTTTGGTAAGTGACTGTGGTTTATTTTAAACTTAACATTCATCTCACCATATTGTGAATCACACTTATTATTTTTAATAACCCAATCCGGAATTAAACTCAAGACCGCAAGAGTCGTAGTGGAACCTCCTGACCTTCTAAGTCGCTTATGGTGTGTTATTGCATTTATTTCTGCTTTGCACTCAAAATATAAATCATAATTATTTACTAACTAATTAATAATTATAATTAAATAATGGTCTCTTCACTTTTATTTTTCGGTTTTTCTATAGAGTACTCATGACACTCTATAAGAGAAGAGAGAGATAGAGAGGTCCCCTATTTTGTATTAATTTCTGTGCATAATTTATTTCTCTCTATCTCTTTCCTCTCTTATAGAGTGCCCATGCCCATGGGCACTCCATAGAAAAACCAAAAAAATATATATGAGGGATTTGTTGATTTATACTTGATCTTGGGATGGGGATGGGTAATTAAGAGCCTTGGCGTGATTTGAGTTAGGTGATGAAGAATCTTGGTGTGACTAGGGTAGGTAGCTTGGCGTGTTAAATAGTTTGGTGATGAAGATTAACGATCCTTAATTAACTGTTTTAATAAATGTCTATAATGTAGGCTAAATTATCCTGTTGGTATTCTAACTTGATCATGTTTCTGATTTAGTCTTTATTTCTACTCCGATATTAATATGGTATTTTAACTTGTGCCCCGACGACAATAAGACTTTCCCCCCTCACCGGTGGTAAGAATTCTGGCGAACTGGATTTTTTTTCTTAGAATATTTCTTCCATCCCTTTAACATATCAAATTTATTAAGTCTTGCACTATCTTTCTCCTTCAATATCTCCCAATTCAAATTTCTTCCACCCATTTATCTAATAAGATCCACCTTTGAGCCTCTCTTTCTCCTTCAAGGCTTCAACCTCTCTCAATTCAAACCTAAACTCTAATCTAACCCAACAACATTCATCCAAGTCGATACCGATTTGAATAAGGGTTTAGGTTTAAATTGGGAAAATTTAAAAGATAAAGACGGGGCTCCATTGGTGAGAGAAAAAAAAGAATGAAGAGGATTTTATTAGCTAAAAGGGCGGAAGAAATTTAAATTAGGAGGAGGGATGGAAGAAGAAGAGAGAGTAGACTTAATAATTTTGATTGGGGCTCCATATGGGATTTAAAGAAATTTTCCTTAAAAAATACAGTTCGTCAGAAAAAGGCTTATTATCACCGGGGAACAAGTTAAAATATCACATTGACACCAGAACAGAAATAAATAGCTTATTGAAAAAACAGGATCAAGTTAGAAAACCGATTTGATAATTTGACCCTAACATATATATATAACTTAAATTCTTCTTTATTGTTAAAATCTTTAATCTGTGTTGGTTTTGATTGCTCTCAAAAGAAAAGGCTGATTTTTCTGTTATTTTGTCTTCATTTACTTCAGCTCCTTGCTAGTTCTTACATATAAGATATTAGATAATGCACGAGACTTCAGTATCAGCGGGAGTAAGTAGGTCTGGTTCGAATCAAAATATGACGTTTACTGTGTTCATAACTTCATATTTGTTTATCAGTTACGCAAACAAATGTACAGGTAAAAGTATTGTTAGTCTAAGTGTAGACCCAAAACTGAAGTCGATGCTGGAATCAAGAAGATGAAGCAAAACGAAGGAAACAGGAAAACTGAAGTGTGGTCGACCGTGGTGCTCTCGGCTGTCGACCGCGAACCTGCACGAGACAGGAAAAGTCTCTGGACTTTTTCCGGTTGATCGCGGCAAATGGTCTGGTCGATTGCGAGACCCTGTAGGTGTTTTTTGGGTTTCTGTCGTTTATCCGGTCGACCGCGACTGGTTCGGCAGTCGACCGCGAGTCGAGCTAGCAGTTTTCTAATCTGTTTTGAATTCTGTTTGGGCTGGGATTCATATATATATCTATATGTTTTCTAGGGTTAATTATAATGTGAAAAACCATCAGAAAGAGTAGAAAAGAGAGAGAATCTCAGAGAGATTAATCTCTTGTTTGAGTGTTTGTATTCCTTCTTCAATTAATCAAAGAGATTGTGTGGTGTGGCTCCCGAGGACATAAGCACGTTGTCGAACCTCGTTAAATTCGTGTGATCTCTCTTGTTCTTATTTCTGCAAGTTTTTATCTTTGATTTGTGATGAATTTCTTTCTTGCTCAACTTTCTAACAAGGTACGGAGGACAATGGTTCGATTTGATTGTTTCGAATCCCCAACAAGTACTCCTACTAACTCATAGTAGGAAGCGCAAATAGATCTTTCATCTTGTATTGAACAGATTGAAAAAAAATTATATCTATTGTTGAATTGCTAAAAGATCATGCAAAGATAATATTAAGTCCGATCATCTAGAATGATCTACGATGTATGAATAGAGAATGATAGATTAACCACAGTCATTTCGACCATACGAACATAACGAAACGTGAACTCGTGTTACTTAAAAATTTTCAAAGATGTTCGTAGAAAGACTTCTAAAATGTAGGGGAAAACTATTTTATAGTTTTATCTTTTTTATTTATTTTAGAAAATAGTGATTACTAAATGCCATCATACATGGCTACGAATGCTATCAATTAGTGAGACTTATAAACTATTTTTCAACTTTATCATTATCTTCGGAAACAAACATATATAATTCCTGTATTCTCTTTCAACCAACTTTGCCGCTATTCTACAAACCAAACAAAAAACGGAGATTAGAGCATCTCCAACAGCTTCCTCAAAATTTTCTCCAAAATGGAGAAACAAAAGTCATATTCTCCAAATTATTTTTGCTCAAACTCCAACAACTTCCCCATTTTGAAAAATCGTATTTATTACAATAATAAAGCTCTCCCCAAAAATTTGGAGAATGCTGCAGATTTGGGGAATGCTCCCTATTTTTTCTCCTCCTTCCCTATTTTGGGGAATGGGATGGGAAATCTGTTGGACCAAAAAACAGCTCTATATTCCCCAAAATTGAGTATTTCAAGAAGATGAGGAAGCTGTTGGAGATGCTCTTATGGATCTTTGAAGATTTCTTGGATTTCTAACGTTCTCATAATACAAAATACGAATCCAACATCCAAACATGAGAAAATTGATCAATATATGTACCTTCTATAAGGGCCCAACCCCTGACCCCTTCCCCTGCCAACCATGAGAACAGAGTTAGTTAACAGAGGAGATTTTGGAAGAGAGGAGGAGAAATTGGAGAAGAAGAAGATGGAATTTTTTTTTTCCAATCTCATAAATTGAGAAGAAAACTATTAAGCCTCTTAGTTATGTACACTCTCGTTACATGATTCACTTTTAGCTGTGCAACCTCCGTGTGCTCAAAGTTGTTGCGGGAATTTGTTGGAAGTCGTCTATGGCATGAATGGTCGTGGATCTCGTGGGCTTGGGCCTTCTTCTGTCAGGCCCATAAATGCCGCTACTTTTTATTTTTGAGAGAAGGCCTGAGCCTCGCCCTGAAGGCTATTTGATATTAGAAGGGGTTAGTTTTATGGCCTGTTTGGATGGAGGTTTGAGAGGAGGAAGAGAAGGAAAATTTTATTTTAACATTGTTTGAGAGTTTTATTTTAGAGGGTAGAGGAGGGGAATGGAGGGGAAATTTGGCCTAAATTTTTACACCTCAAATTGGGGTGTAATAGAGGGTAAGGGAAGGAAGGGGAATTTTCCCCCTTCATTCCCTTTCCTAAAAGTAAACCCCCAAACACACCATTAGAGAACCCCCGTCAATAGGGTAGGGTGCCTAGAAGACACCCCAGTAATTTTAATTTGACGGAACTCCTTTAAATTTTGGGAGTCGTAGACAAACTCCTCACCATAAGTTTTTTATTTATTTTTATTTAGCCCTCTTGAACTTTCTCACTTTACTCCTAGAAAAAACAACATATGTGACTTAAAAAAGACCAAATTACTTGTCAATTATAAAAAAACCACCCCCATCTTTCGCAGGATGAGAGAAAGAGAGGAGATAGTGGTAAAAATATTGTAAATTAATTAGGATCCTTTTTTATCGGTGGGTGTTTCTTTTTAACTTTTAAAAAAAGTATTTCAGCCATTTTTCATTTTGAAATTGAGAAAAGTGAGAAATTTTGTGAGAGATGCCGAGAGCAAAGTTGAATTTAGAAGCCGAGGAGAGTTATCTGAAGCACCCCCAAATTGAGAGAAGGGCTTCCTCAAATTAAAATAATTGAGCGGGCCCGCTGAAATGGGGTTTGGGCTCGAGTAAAAAGCGGATCTAGGTTAGATGTTCGGAACACCCGACCCATTAACACGAGAACCAGCGAAAACCTAGGTTCCACAGCCGGCTTGACGAGAGCGCAAAGACGTCGACAACCCAAATCCCTGCAAAAATTTCAACGGAAAGATCTCAAAAATTCAATTTCCCCCCCTCTCCCTTCTGCCTCAGTTCTATCCAATTGAAACCAATATCAAAGAGGAAGAATGCAAACATCTATACGGAGAACGATACCCAAGTTGAGAAATCCCTCACCCTCTTCTCTCCACTCTGCGCAATTTCATTCGACTCCCATTTTGCTTGGCAAATGGAACAGCAGCAAGGTTAGTTTCGTGGGGGAAATGAGTTTTTTTTTTTTTTTTTTTTTTTTTTCTTTTATTTTTTTTTTTTTTTTTTTTTTTTTGCTTTCTTTTAACTGCTATACGTATTTGGATGGATGGGCATTTGGTAAATGAAGTACCAAGTTCAAGATTCTGATAAAGTTTGCATTTTGAAGATTATAACGAGCTCGAGCGCATCAAATTTGGGGGATTAAAGTTAAAAGGGAGAAACTTTGGAGTGTATTTTTGCGCAAAATTAAACTTTCAGGGTATAAATCAACCCTATAAATAAACTAAGTAGAAAAATTTTCAATATATAAACAACAAAGATTGCAAAGGCTTTATCTATCTGCGTTTGTGGCTGACTGTTTCTTTCATCTCCATTCGATATCGTTGATCTGATTATAATGGTATCATGTTAAGAAATGGAATTACTAAAACTATAGGATTAAGCATATAACACCTTTGCACATAAGATAGTAATATTTTAGTTTAGCAATGTTCATCTCCCTGGCCACCTCCATAGTAATGTTGAAGCTTTGAGTTTGTTGCATTTACTCTTAACTTCCTATGTCGAAACCTTTTTAGATATATTTTTCCTAATCTCAATATAAGTATATGCTATGAGAATAGTAGTGTTAGCAGCCCATGCTACAATATTCACGTCACCTAACTTTGAAAATCAACCTGTTAGCAGCACATGCTACAATATTTGCTTTCTTTTGTCAAATGATCTTCCTCTCCAGCTTGTTAGATTGTAAGGTTTCATGCTTTAATATATTCATGGAAGCTTTTTATATATTGTGCATATTAGTGCTTCACTGATAAAACATTTGCATTTGTAAGTTCAAGTGTGTGTGCATAGGTACTGAGCTACTGAAGTGATTTTTCCTGTTTTTATTTTCTCGGCGATGCTAACTTACAAGTTCTAATGCTGTGTTGTACAATTTCCTTTCTAAGGATGCAGGAAGAGGTCAGAAACCATCTAAGGTGCACAATCTAAAACTACCTATCTTTATGTTTTGTTAAGCTTAATTAATGCCTACATCATATTCATAGAGGTCATGATATTGTGGATTGAGGTGAAAGCTTACTAGAAGTATACATACAGTCATTTTTTTATTTAAAATATTGATAAAATTATAAGAAAAGCACATTGGCTAATACATCTTTCTGTTTAATCCCTTTCATTATTGGAGTTATTTATTTTGCACAATTTTCTTTTCTTGTGTCGGCTATAAAAAGTAATTAGCAAGGAATGACCGGTACCACTCTTCCTGATCCAGGAAAAAAGCACGATAGATGTAGTCACTCTACTAAGGTAATTAGAGCGACGACAATTGAAATAGTTCTCTTAGGAAAGTTCAATTTATCGTGCAACCTACAAATTGTCTGTATGCCTTGCCGAACTTTTTTTTTAAATGAACAAAATTGATTAAAAATATGTGTTAGGTGAGATATTTTAATGTGATTTAATTACTTTAGGTAATTTGTGTTGGGAAAAATGGGGTTGATTGATTGACTTTTTCCCCTTCCTCTGTAGATAAAATGGCTTAATAAGGTAAATAATAATAAAATGATCAAATGAAATATTTAGTAGGACACAAGAATTTTTAATGTGGAAAACCTTTTGACTGAAGGTAAAAAGCACGGGATCTGGTCCAGAAAAATCTTTCACTACGAATATAATGGGTATACAATGTTTCCTCTCTAGACACTTGGCTAGAAGTCCACTAGCAACGAACATGATAGAAAAGATGACTTCTTCTACTTAGGAGAAGAAACACAAAAGACTAACACTATTTCTTTTCTCTCTCTCCAACACTCAAATACTCTATGATTTGAATATTATTTTTTCTCTTCGTTGCTATGATTCTTCTCTTTGCCTTTGAAGGCTATTTATAGCCTCAAACCCACTTATCTTTCGTTATTTTTCAAACAACGTGCATCACCCTTTGATTTTTGAGCCTGACCATTGCCTACAATTGTTGATTTTGAGTGTTTTCTAGAAAAGTGGTGAGACCCACTCCAAAAATGGCGGGACCAACAATTTGGAGAGAAAGGAGTTGATTTTGACAAAATTTTCTTTCTAGTTGTGAAGATGATGTCTATCAAGACAGTTTTGAGTCTTGCAGCATAGCCAGGATCTCGAGTTAGAGCAACTCGATGTGAAGACCGCATTCCTCCATGATGATTTAGAGGAGGAGATCTACATGGTGCAACCAGAGGGTTTCAAAGTGAAAGGCAAGGAGGATATGGTCTGCAAGCTGAAGAAGAGTATTTACGGGCTCAAACAGGCACCACGATAATGGTACAAAAAGTTTGACTCATTTATAGTGGGTCATGGATATACGCGTATAGTTGTAGATTCATGTGTCTATAATTGGAAGTTCTCTGAAGATAACTTCATCGTTCTTTTACTTTATGTTGATAATATGCTCATAGTTGGACATGATGCAAAGATGATTCAGAAGTTAAAGGAGGAATTATCTAAGTCCTTTGATATGAAGGATTTAGGGCCAGCACGTCAGATCCTACGCATGCAGATTATTCGAGATAGGAAACAAAGAAGGTATGGTTATCTCAATAAAAATATGTTGAACGGGTGCTTAAACGATTCTACATGAAAGGTGCTAAGCCTGTTAGCACACCTCCCGCAAATTACTTTAAGCTTAGCAAAAGAGAGTGTCCAACTACTGAAGAAGCAAAGAAAGTAATGACAGATGTTCCATACTCCTCTGCGGTTGGGAGTCTGATGTATGCTATGGTATGCGCATGGCTGGACATTGCTCATGCAGTTGGCGTTGTGAGTAGATATATGTCAAACCCTAGAAGAGAACACTGGAAAGCAATGTAGTGGATTCTCAAATATTTGAAGGGCAGTTCAAGATTATGCTTGACATTTAGCAGTTCCAAACCAATTTTGGAAGGCTATACAGATGCGAATACGACAGATGATCTCGATAACAAAAAATTTACATCTGGATATTTATTTATTTTGGTAGAAGGCACTATATCTTGGCAGTCCAAGCTGTAAAAGTGTGTTTCTTTATCCATAGCAGAAGCAGAGTATATCAAAGCTGCAGAAGCATGCAAAGAAATGCTGTGGATGAAAAGATTTCTTCAGGAATTGAGTTTGAAGCATGATGAGTACATTGTACATTGTGACAGTTAGAGCGCTATTGATCTCAGCAAAAACAATATGTACCATTCTCATATGAAGCACATTGACGTGAGATACACTGGTTACGAGTTGTAACAGAAGAGAAGCAGATGCTACTGCAGAAGATCTATACCGACAGAAACCCTGCTGATATGATGACAAAAGCAGTTCCCAAGGATAAGTTTGACCTCTGTATGAAGATCGTCGGGATGGATTTCTCCAAATAGTCGGGAGGGGAGAATTGTTTGTCCCGTCACTTTTGAAGTGAGTCCCACCACTTTTCTAGAAGACATGCTCAAAATCAACAATTGTGGGCAATGATCAGACTCAAAAATCAAAGGACGGTACACATTGTTTGAAAAAGAACAAAAGGTAGGTGGTTTTGAGACTATAAATAGCCTTCAGAGGCAGAGAGAAATATTAGAGCAATGAAGAGAAATTTTTTTTCAAATCGTAGAGTATTTGAGTGTTGGAGAGAGAAAAGAGAGAGAAAAAAGAAAAAGTATTAATATATTGTATTCCTTCTTCTGAATAGAAGAAGTCCTTTTTTCTATCATGTTCGTTGTTGTTGTACCGCTAACCAAGTGTCTGGAAAGGAAACTTTATATACTTATATTCATAGTGGAAGATTTTTCAGGACTAAGTCCCATTGTTTTTACCTTTAGTTGAAGGGTTTTCCACATTAAAAATTCTTGTGACATGTTGAATATTTCTTTTGATCATTTTATTATTATTTGCATTATTAATCCATTTTATCTACAGAGAAAGGGGAAAAAGTCAATCAATCAACCCCGTTTTTTCCTAGCAATTTGTTCTTTTTGGACCTTACCCCAAACAAAATCATACTTACTAGTTGGTGAAGTCAAATAGTGCATGTGTTTTTGAGATAGCGATGTAAAAGGCGGTCAATGTAAACAAGTCTACCAACTCTAGAAAGATTAGATCCTCTGAAGCAGCTGAGTTTCTCTGCACATCCACAATAGTATCGTAAGCTTTATCATAATTTAACTTCAACAGATCCGATGTTCTTGATGATAGCAATAATTTATTGAGCCAAAGAAACACTAATGGAGGCTGTCTTAGCTTCCTTCAGATCATGTACATCTTTTAAGCTATCTTCTAGAATTTTCATCAGATGATAACTCTTAAAATTTTCCCTTCATCTTTATTATAGCGGATTCCACCTTCTGTCTTTACTTTGAATCATGTAGCTTAATCTTTATCAACGATGTGTCTCTAGTGCAAAGCCCTCTTTTTTTTGTGCTCACTTTGTGCCTGTTTCTTCTTCATATTGCAAGCTATATTATGTTGGGCATGAAATCCTTTGCTGTGACATTTCAGTTTTTTTGTTCTTGCATTATGCTCTGAACTTATAGTTGAGAATTAATTTCCATTTGTAAATCATTTTTTCATCCCTTCGTACCAGCTTTGATGTGCATACCTTGATGATTGCCCTCTTAAATGCTAGTTTTTGTGATGCTGTTTTTGCATGGCAACAAGTGCTATCTCATATGCTCCATTTATGATCGGTGCTGATGAACTGATTGTCCAGAAGCTGTTTTTCGTTTTGAGCGCTTGTATGCAATACTTGTAGTCTACGTAAATACAAAATTACTCTCACTTGAATTAATTTGACAAATCATAAATACAGTGCTTACTGCTTAGAAGTATTTTAACCCAAAAATCACTGTTGTTATTATTGCAATGTATTTTCGTACTCTGCTGGTGAGAGGAATCGCTGTTGCGAGTGCAGTACATTCTGATTTATCTAACATTACATAGGCTCAAGTAAGATTTGCAGTTCGTCAGAAGCGTTCTGACACAAAAAGAGCTCTTAAGGACTTCCTACTCTATGGCAAATCCTCCAAGCATTACTCTCAGGTGTGCTTTTGTCAATACCTGTTCCTTACAATCTCTTGGATTTGCATTATCATGTTAAGAACAATTGATCTTTGTCAATTCCTCTTCAATGATGTCAAGCTAAACGAATTTAGTTTCTGGCTGATGAAAATATATCTGCATGATTATTTTACCCTTTTTGCCTTTTGGTTCTAGGATGACGGTTTTAATTGGTCTGCTGAAGAAACTGACAGACAAGATGCGAAAGCTAAAAATAGTTCACACGGATCGAAAAGCTCTGGGAAATCTAACCCCAACAGTTCGACGCACTCTGGCAGAGGCAAACACAAGAGTAAGATATTTTTTTACCATAGTGGCAATGTTATATAAATTTGGTTCAATGACACGTTTTCTGAAATAAGAACACTTTTACGAAAAACTGTTTGATTATATGAAAATAATGCTTACAGTTATTTTGCTATGGTTTTGGTCGCTTCTGTCATGTGGCATGCATAATCAGTCCATTCAGGCGTATTATGTGATGCTCAGATGAATAGTATATCATGATTCTCATATGCGTCTTCTATGCTTGAAGAGTATGAACACCTACGTTACCTAAATACTTCTATTAGGAAGCCGTACCTATACCCGACACATACCGTACCCAAACCTCTTGGACACTTCTTGAATATATGTATATGTTTGTTTGGGTGTACACTCAATTATATAATACATGTTTTAATTTAAAACATGCATACACGTGTTGGACATATATTCTACACTTCGCATCTATTTCTTATTATATTGATCTTATGTAAATGGAAAATTAATATTGATCTTATGTAAGTTATTAACTTTAATACATATAAATATACATAATATGCATATATATAGCTGTGTTCCCGTACCCTACCTTTTACAAATTTGCCGTGTGCCATACTTGTACACGTATCCTCACCAACACCAATGAAGCCTTTATCCCGAACCTTTAGGGTTAACTTGTGAGCTTGATGTGGAAATTGTGTAGAACATTTTTAAACTCACATGATGGGCTTTGCTGCCACTTGGATCCGTTTTCAATTTGCTTAGTATTTTACAGCATAGAGTTTCTAACTTCTTGTGGTAAAAGCCGATCCATGTGGGCTATATCCAATATTTGTAAACCACTGAATATGCAGCCGCGAGTTCGTATATAGTATGGAGTATTCACATACTAGATATTTACATCTATACATACTTTTTGAAATTTTTTTACTTTCTGATTTTCGTCCAATGTTTGCATTGTTCTCAATTTTATTATATTTCAAATGAATTCAATGACATCTGTGATTGTGTATCCACTGCGTATGTGCTATATGCATACTCACCTAATTAAAGTATAATACCACATGCTGTAGCATTGGACACTCCACTGAAGCATTGTCACTAAACCATTATATATATCACCAATAAACTGCATTATATTTGGCATCTTATTTCGAAAGATGTCAAATTGACATTGTATGTTGTTAGTATAACTGTTGTACAGAAATGTCGGTTGATTTGTCAAGATAATTATCCAACGTATATACATATACACATATTTGTGTAGGACTTCTGTTAACGTATTATGTTTGTACATCTCTGAACCAGGTTTCTGGAAATTTCTTTGCTCAGATCTGGACTAAGGCAGCAACCACTTCGTTACATTTCCGACTAATACTTCTCTGTATAGGGAGAGCCGACAAGATGATAATGCTGTTCCAATAAAGCTTTCAGTTGCCCTGTTTATTTTTACTGTATTGTTAGGCGTAATGCTTGGCTAGACTACATATTTTATACTACTATTTGACCACAAAATACAAATGTGTTAGATCCTTAGAGAACCATATTACTTGATAGCCGTGGAAGGACCCTACTTTTTGTATCTTATAGTAGTATAGAATTGGGAAAAAAATCCAAATCCATACATATCCTTGAATTTCTCTGGCTAAAATTCTATTTCTTAAACAGCTTGGAGACGGAAGCAGCAATTTTATGACATAGATGATGACGGCTTGAATCCAGAGAATATTTTTACAGCTACATTTGGAGGGCAAAAATGCTACACTTGGTCCTTCACATGGACAGAGAATTTAAATTTTAACAATACATGGAGGGGATTTGACTTCGGCGGCGAATCAAAAAAGGAAAAAGCTCGGGAAAAATTCTGGAATGAAAGTGATTTTGATGAGGATGAGGAACCAACAAGGGATGTAGGTTGCCATGCTCATAGGGTCACTCTTGGCTTGCCGACTACTGGTCCCTTAAAATTGGATGACATTAAAAACGCGTAAGTAATTTTAAAGATATTGCTTAGGTTAAGCTCTTAAACTCTTTGTATAGTTGTTTGATCTATGTATTATGTTGTGCAGTTTCAGAACTTCTGCTTTGAAGTGGCACCCTGACAAGCATCAAGGTCCTTCACAGGTAAGTGAGAAAATTGAATAGTTAGGCTAGCACTGAAGAACTTCGATAAAAATTAAAGTTAAAGATTTCTACTAGCAAGTTATTTTTAAGAAGATTTTATTGAGAACTTACTGGTTTAAAACTAACGATTTTACTTGTTTAAACCTAAATTGAATAACTTGTTCGTTTTAATCTTATATAATTTATCCCTGAGCCTCCATGCGGATTTTTCTTGGCATTTCCCAACATTAGAATTCTCATCCCGGAATCTCCATCCAGATTTAAAGAGTGGGGGGCGGGGGGTAAAGGGAAAAAAAAAGAAAAAAAACCCCCGAATTTTTTTCCCCTTTTAATAATTTTTTTTTTTTCCCTTCTTTTTAAAAAATCAAACCTTTTTTTTCCCCCCCCCCTCGTAAGGATTCGATTTAAAAGCATTTTTCTTTTATAAAAACCCTTTATTAAAAACTTGGATTTTTCTCCCCCAAAATTATTTTTGGGGGCAAAACTTTGTTAAAATTTGGTTTTACCAAAACCAAATAAATCTTATGGGGCCGCCCAATTCCAAGTTTTTTTGCTGGCCCGGTTTGTTGGTCGGTCCGTCATCTTAAACTAGGCATATGGCCGACACACTCTGAACTATAATCCAGATATAAATGTTGCATATTTTCATATCAACGCCAGAAATCTTAAACTTTATCTGCGAAGAAATACTGATTCACTAAATTAAAGGGAAATTGCTTGTAGAGTCTTGGATTTGGAAATCTATCCATCCATCCTTCTCTAAAAAAGTCAAATGCACAAGACTTCTTGGGCTGTAAAATAAAAATAAAAAGAGATGTTCATTTACACCCTTGAAACCACTTTACAACTCATCCTCTTTTATTCTTCCTTTTTTGCCCTTACCTTCTTCTCTTTTCATTTTCTTTTTCTCCTCTCACCCAAAAATTATCAAAATTCCAAACCCATATTCTTGCCTTTGATCGCCATCGAATGCATCAGATTGTCGGTCTAGGGTTCAGTTCATTCCTCTCCTCGATTTGTAATACGCAAAAAAAGGTGAGAAAATTTTGATGGTTGGGCTAACTAGATTAGCGATTTGATCTGGCTTGTTATAATTGTGGAATTGTTTGTTGGAATCACTGGAGAAGATAAAGAGAATTGTTGATAATTGATGATAGGCCTAGGCGCAACAAAAGGAAAAAGTTGATCATTATCATTATCATCCATGGAAACCAAGGGTTTGTTGTGGGATTCATCGCCATCATTGAAAGAGTTGGTGCTGACTTTAATCGATTTGATGAGCTTGCTGTCGTTGTGGTAGTTGCTTCCCATTAGTTTTGATTAGGTTGAGGTCATCTTCTTCATTTTTTGAGTCTACCATATTTTGTGAGAAGTCATATCGTGTAGCTATGGAAGAAGAATCAAGAGGATTTTAGGAAATTTTTTAGGGAGGAGCCTAATCTGTTTGGGTGAGAGAAGGAAAAGGAAAAGATGAAAAGAGAAGAAGAAGACGAGGGGAAAAAAGAAAGAATAAAAAAGTATAAGTTGTAAATTGGTTTCAAGGGTGTGAATGAATTTTTTTTTATCTTTTCTTTTTTGGTTTTTTTTAGTCTAGGACGTTTTTGCGTTTAACTTATTTTAGAGAGGGTGGACGCATAGATTTCGGGATCCAAGATAAGCAATTTTCCCTTAAATTAAATAATCATCACTGATATATGTTGCTGATAATTTGAATCTGAACGCAACGTTTGAAAATGGTACAACGTTAACGCAGAAATATGCTTTCCTGGAGTCAAAATGTCAAGAACCCTGCCAAAATGGTTGTTCGATACAACCCTAGCAATTTGTATCTTCCATTATTTTTGTTAAACTCGAAATTATTCCTCCTTGCTTATTTGTGTTCATTGGCAAAGGTTATTTACTTTTAACGATGGTCCTTGTGATGATGCAGGACATGGCAGCAGAAAAATTCAAGCTCTGTGTTAATGCATACAATTCCCTGTGCAGTGCTCTTAAGGCCTCATGAGCCACCGACTGTTAGATTTTTCATCACATCGGAGTTCATCTAGAAAGATAAAGCAATGCATCATTCATTCGACATAAAGCGCTTTACTATTTGATTTTATCATGTAACTTAATAGTTTCGACGAGAACTTAATAATTATCCTGCTCCTCCTGTGGGCTGTATCACAGTTAGAACTCAGGACTCAGGACTCAGGAAGAGAAGGAAAGAGTCCCAAACCCATATGGGAAATCTGTCCTTGTGCAGATTGTGAAGAATGAACAACCGCAGGATCGACGACGAGTCAATGCCTGAAAGCCGTCCAAATCAATCGCCTCTTGGCCGTGCCTTCGAATATCCTCAACAATGTGCTTGAAGATAGAATACACTGGAGCATGACCTTGGATCGTCCCAATGACATTTTCAGTCTCACGCCAACCCAACCTTTCTAAAACCAATATCTTGGACAAAGCAAATAGTCTTGAGTGCTACCATGAACTTGGCCTGCTCTGCTTCCCTTCTGACAGTAATTATTTTGGAGAACGCAGCAAAGAACTTCCCTTTGTGATCTTGAACCACCGCGCCAACTCTGATAGCTCATTGATTTGAGAATAATGCTCCATCTAAATTCGCTTTCATCATTCCAATTTCGTAGGCCGCCATCTAGTTTAGGGTTGCATTCAGTTAGGATACGGCTAAGATATGATGCTTACCATATTCATATCTGCTTACCCATTTCAGATACGGATATGGATACAAATATGTATTGGTAAGGAAAATTCATATCCATATCCGCTAAAACCAGATATGGTTACAGATATAGGTGTGGATTTATAAGCGATATGCATGCGGATACAAAACGGATGTGAGAAAACTAGAGAGAAAAACATAGTTCATGTGATAAAGAAAAGTCGTTAATATGTTTATTATAACTAAAAAGCTAAGATTAAACATCTTGATCATCAAAACTAACCCACAAATCCATAACTTAAGAATCAAAACTATCGTAAAATCATGACTAATATGTATTCGGGTATTTCAGATACGGATACAGATATTTCACTATAAAACCATATCTATAACTATATGCTATTTGTAATATATTTGAGTAACCATGATAAAGATACGACTATGAATATTTTCTCTGATACGGATACGGTTTAGCACCCCTAATCTAGTCTCAATTGCCCAGTCCGCTCCTCTCCTTGGGGTTTCTTGTGCCTGCAGAAAGTCACATCGAGATTCGCTGACCATCTCTACAAGCCTTTGAACCTCCATGCTTTTGACAAATATTGTTGTTAGTATATACAATATTAACTTGTCTGTTTGTTATTTAAATGCAGTCCTTTCCATGAAAAGTTAAGAAAGATAATTGTGACCCTCACAATTTGATAATTTTTCCTTTAATAATATATGCGCAGTTAGACAAGAGCGTATTGTTAGTGTTTCCCGTTAAATTGGTTAAATGCTCTAATTTAGGACTTCTTTCTTGACCTCCATCTTCTTTTTCTTTTTTCTGGTGAAATTTGAGCGATATCTTTGCATTTTAGTCTCCCCGCTTCCTGCTTTGCATGCGGACATGGAGTCTGAATCTGTAGATGATAATTAGATCAGCGTATTAATACTCAAAGATGTTTAAAAAATAGCTCTTTAATGCTCTAAAGTTGTAAAAAAAAATTGGCATGTCAATACCTTCTATCTGTTGCACGCGGGAATATTTCTAAGAATATTCTCATATGATTAACACATGACATTTTAGTTATTGTACGGATCCTTATCATTATATATTTATCTACGCTTCACCATTTTAGTAATTTCTATTTAGGTGTACTTTTGTCATAATGGATTTTTTAAGGTGTTTATCAGATTCTAACGATGGACAACTCTGTGTGTTAACGTGCTACTTTTTTTTTTTACTTTTTAAGTGTAAATATGGTTTAAAAAGAATAGGGCATTTAAGTGACATTTAGCCTTTTTCTAAAGTCGGGAGGAGGTTAAACCTCAGAAGCGCGTTTGGCAACTCGTCCGCTAATTTGAATAAATAAATGCTAAAACTTAGATAAAGATTTTATAAAAATGTTGTATAGGATTGGCGGCCAATCATTGGCCTCGTTTTCTTTTTCCAGTTCGAAAATAAACTTAACTAGATTATTTTTGAATCGGCTCCATCTTATTATGCTGCCACTGAAGCCACGCCCCAAAAGCCCACCAGTTCATTAAATACCCCCACATTTTCAAAATCCCCAAACTCCGTTGATTAATAAGAGGGTGTTTGTTTCAAATCCTATAATTTTAGGATATAGATTTCACAATGAGATTTGAAATCCATAGGTGTTTTGTTCTGTGTTGGGATTTCGAAAATGTTGTTTGTTTCATTAATATTTTGAGATTTAAAATACTACAATTTGTAATATTTTGTTTGTTTCAAGCTCAAATTGTAACATTACCAAATGCTAAAATTTTATAATATGATGAATATGATATCTTGGTGATGTTACCTCCCACAAAAATATAAAATTAGGATTTGTCAAATCCTCTCCAATTGACAGGTAAATACATCAATTTATGGGATTTGTCGAAATCCTCTCCAATTGAGAGGATTTGACAAATTCTAAAAATTAGGTATTTTTTGCATTTTTAGAATTTAATATTTTAAAAAATTTATTAAAACAAACACCGTATATGAAATCCCAAAATACAAAAAAATAATCCCAAAACTTGTAATCCATAAACTTTTGGTGAAACAAACACCCACCCCCCCTGAATGAACCCCCAACAGAAACCCCTAGAAAATCCCCCCAAAACCCTCCCCAAAAAAAAAACACCCCCATCGATGACGGACCCCGCCTCCGGCTTCTCTCGACCCCGACGCCGCCGCAGCCCCGGCCTGATCCCCGCGACTCCGCGATCGGAGCCCTGAACACCATCATCCAGCTCCACTACGAGAAAACCCTAGAAAGAAGCACTCCATCGACCTCCAGAAGAAGCACCTCCACAAGCTCCTCCACCTCTTCCTCCTCCTCATCTCCCTCCTCCTCCTCTCCCTCCTCCAGCCCCGCCTCCGCTGCCGCCACTGCTGGCTCCCCCTCTCCGTCCTCACCCTCTCTCCTTCCTGGCCTTCTACGTCTCCGTCGCCAGACCCTGCGCCGCCCGCCAACGGCTTCAGGTACCAGAGCGGTGCCACAAGCTGACGCTGGCGCTGGCCACGGAGAGGCTGCGGAGGCTGCGGAGGGGGGAGGAGGAGGCGACGCCGCCGTCCGACTCGAGGTCTGCTACCAGGAGCCGCCGAGAGCTACCTGGGCAAGTTCAGGAGAGCTGGGCTCTGTATCTCGGCTTCTTGGCTCTTGTTTTCGGGTCATGGTCTGTGGCTCCGTCGCGGTCCTGTGCTTTTAGATGGAGATGGCGGTGCAGCGTTAAGGGCGGCTACACGGTTCGCGGGCGTATTTTGGTAATTATGGGGCTCCTGTTTTCATGGCATTTCAGGATGACGTCACCGTGCTGTAATTCGACGGGGGGTGGCGTCTGGGAGGGGCTTATTTTTTATTAAATGTGGACATTTAATTATGAAAATTAACCCTACAAAATCACGGTAATGATGATTAATTATGAAACTTATTGTGCCTTTTGTTTTGATGGTGTTTTTTGCCTAGCTTTTAATATCCGGTGCGTAGAATAACAATATCATGTAGGATTTTTTACATATATTTTTTTTTGCCTAACACTTGCTGCATCTGATATGCATTTTATAAAATAACATATTTCCAAACATTAGCTGTTGTAATATTTGCTATAATTTATTTTTGCAGTAAATCAAACGACGCTAAATAATATGTTAAAATGGGCTTGGAGATGTATTAAAATATCAACATTTAGCGATTCATTTTCAAGCAAGAATCTAGATTGAAAACTCGGAAGATTATTCCCACTTAATCTGCTATTGTGTCCTACTTTTTTATTTATTTATAGAACTATCATAATGTACTAACGGAGATTGTTGTTTTAATTACTTGTCTATTTTCCAATGAGTAGTGCTAAAGGGACCCCAAATAGGGGACCCCTGAGAGGACAGGCCTTAGGGGCGCTGATTTACTGTTCATGAACAGTAAATCAGCCACTCAGGGGCTGACACCTCACATGTCCCCTCAGGGGTCCCCTATTTTGAGGTCCCTGAGGAGTTTTCCTTTTGCAATGGATGGTTGCGACTTAATTTTAAATTTTAATAATTTGTCATATTTTCCATGTGTTGCACACTTCACTTATTATTCATATAAGGGTTTTCCGATATTAATCCTCGGAATCTTTCATGTTCTGAAATTAGTATCTCAAATCTTTCATGTTTTGAAATTAGCCCTCTAAATTTTTAGAAAATTTTGAAATCATTCTTTTTTTTTTGTCAGCAAATGTTTGGAAGATTTTGGGGGGACTAATCACTAATGTCAATATACTTATAAGATTTTGAACTAATTCAAAACACTTAGCTATTTAGAATACTATTTTCAAAATATCAAGATTTATGGGGAACTAATTTCGAAAATATGAAAGATTTAGGGGACTAATAATTGACAATTGCAATAAGAAAATAGTGACTTCTTTGCTAATTTGAGTAGTAGTAAAGATTGTTGTTTGCAGGTTTGGCAGTGGACAGCCGGACTGGGCCTCGTTTGAAGTTTTGATTAGACAAAGACAAGACACGGTCGACTCCCTCCGAAGGCGGGGTCCACTTTTGTGGTTCCCCTCTTATTTTGCACTTGTTTCGAGGATTAAATTTAAGCACCGGATCGAGATCCATGAGTATGTTTGAACTGCATTATGTTCCCTCTAAAATAAAATAATTGAAAGGAAAAAAAAACTCAAAATGTTTGAACTACTTTCTTTATACATGCCTCAGGCGTTATAATTGACATTCATTTCTCCTTAAACACCACTGCTTTCTTAATCGGAATATTTTGTTTCTCACCTTTATAGGAAATGTTTTTCATCCAAAATATGATTTCCTTATATTTCTTAAAAAATTATAAGAAAAGTTTTGAGAAGTTAAAAATTAAGTATAATTTTTCTTGTTTTTTTACTTTGCTTGTTTGATTCAAAACAAGAAAATAGCCCATAACTTTATAGAAAATAGCCCATTACTTTATAGAAAATAGAAAGATTTTCTATAATTTATAGAAATTGAACCAAACACCCCCTAAATTTATAGAAAAATGTTAACTTTATAGAAAAGTGTTAATGTGGTATCAGATTTCTGGGTGATTTTTGCTCATTTTGAGAGTAAATTGATTTCTGTAAATTTTGGTACTTTTTGTACTTTACAGAAAATATTTCTGTGATTTTTTTGAACCAAACACAGTTTACAAAAATCTACAGAAAATTTTTAATTACAAAATTGTCATTGTTAGGTATTTTAAGAAAACTTTTCTATAAAATTGTGCAACCAAACACCCCCTTAGAGTATCTTATCAAATAATTATTTCCAGAAACACCCTCTCTACAAAATAATATAAAAATTAAAATTTAAGTTACGTTACTTAAAAACAGTTTGGTCATTTGAAAAAATATCAATAATTATTTCTATTTTTACAGGTTATAGGATGAGGGATATAATTGTCTGAACACAATTTAGAAAATAATTAACATTTACCCCTGCGATGCACGAAACTGAGTATTGCAATGTTGTTGTGTGCGTGATTGTAAGTGAATAGTCAGTGTCAAAAAAAATTTGATGATTTTAAATTAAGTTAGATGCAGAACGATAGAAGTACAGAGAAGAAGAAGGAATGCGTAGATGAAAAGAGAAAATTAATAGAAGATAAAGTCACATTGGCTGTAATTTTGTCACCGAACATCTGAGTATAGCAAGCTCCTAGAAAAAATAGGAAAAATGCCCCAGGTACCCCAAATAGGGGACCCTGGGGTGGGACAGGTGAGGTTTCAGTCTGGGAGGCTGTGATGCACTGTTCATGAACAGTGCATCACAGCATGAACAGTGTATCACACCCTCCCAAGCTGACACCTCACCTGTCCCACCACAGGGTCCCCTATTTGGGGTCCCTGTAGCAGGACTCAAAAAATAGTACAGATAATATGAAAGGTTTATTATTATCATAGAATAGGGCTTTTTGCTTATGAACCCAAAATTTTACTCTTACGAAAAATCTCACCAAGTTCTGTATGTTCCAATCAACCCATAATACAAATTTATTCATTTTTAAACCCAAAATACGGAATACAAAGGATGTATAGGATACATGGCTATATGACCCAAAATATAGCTATACAACTTAATTATGTTGTTGTACACTCTATAGTATTTAGCTATATAACACTTAATGTATATAGCTATACATCCTATTGTACGTTGCTAGTGGTTGATGTAGAAAAATTCTCTTAGGTCAGACGACAAGTATGTATTTATCCAAAAATTAAAATAGAATTTTATAATATAATATTCTTAACAAGTAAGCTAAATTCTACCTTAAATGAGCTAAAATTTACAAATGGGGTGTAAATATTTTAAAATTTAGGGAGTAAATTATAAATTTAGAAAGGTTTATAATGCAATCTTTCCTACATCTTAGGATTACAACTGTCCTCCTAAAATAGTAAAATTATAAGTGGATCCGCCTCTGTATGCAGCTATAAATTACAAGTACATCGGGTTTATGGGAACATACAGAACTAGATATGATTTTTGGTAAATAGAAGTAAAACTTTGGATTTATAAGCAAAAATCCCCTATAGAATAATGGCGGTTGGGGTCAGATGCGTGAATTAAATACATTGAAGGTCGTTGTTAGGAAGAAAGGCACGTGAATAGCAGTCAGAGCCTGAGCTTGCTTGTCAGCTTTGTCATATACGTGGCTAGTTGGCTTATAAAGAACAAATTTTTTAAACAGACCCATTTCAATTTTTAATTTTCAAAACCGACTCTTTTTTTTTATTTACCAAAACCGATCCGATTTTATGATTAGCAGATTAATCACCTTCCTAAATAGTCGGGGTTGGCAACCCCGACTATTTAGGACGGTGTTAAACCCTAATTAGAAGCATTAAACCCTAAAAATTAATGTCCTAAATAGTCGGGGTTGCCAACCCCGACTATTTAGGAAGGTGATTAGTCTGATAATCACAAAATCGGGTCGGTTTTGGTAAATAAAAAAAAAAGAGTCGGTTTTGAAAATAAAAAGTTGGAATGAGTCTGTTTAAAAAATTTGTTCGCTTATAAATAACAAAAGTACTTCCAAATTTAACACCCAAAGTTTTAAGATGATCTTCGGTACAAATCCTAAAATTTTAGAATTAATAATCTCATGAGAATTTCAAATTGATAGTATTTTATACATGTTTTAAAATTTTTAATATTTTATTTAGTGTAATATTATTATAGAAAAATAAATTCTAAAATTTGTAATCTCTTATTTGGTTCAATATAGCATAACAAATTTTAGAATTTGTAACTATTATTTGTTTCGATTTAAAAAATAATAAGAGGTGAATATACTTATGTTGGTGAGCTTACCTCCCCACAAGAGAATAAAATATAATGACATAGCAATTGGGGTAAACATAGTCATTGATTGGAGCCAAATCCTCTCCAATTGAGAGGATTTGACAAATTCTAAAAAACAGTTGTTTTTTGCATTTTAGGTTAAACATTCCAAAAAATTTATTGAAACAAACACCAACTGTAGAATCCAAAAACTCAAAATTTGTCACGTTTTTTTATCATAGAATTTGTAATCCATACAAAATGCCAAAAAAAATTATGAACCAAACAGCCCCTTATGTGAAAATTATCCACTAGCATTCTAATCCAAAACTATGATAAACTCAAATAACAAGTAAAGTTGTTTCTGATAAAATAAGGACTGGTAATATAACTATGATTAACTCATATAACAAGTAAAGCTGATTTTGATAAAATCAAGGGATGGTGGTGATACGATTATAATCTCACGAAAGAAAAGGGAAAGGGGAACATCTATCTGATTAAAGACTATTGATCCCGGGTTAGCGACAACCATTACGCCTAAGTCCGGCGGATCAATTCAAATCTAGTTCAGAAAAATAAATCAAACTCAAAGAAAATGTACCAATCCTGGCTCAGATCTTGCCAAGCATCATTTTAACCTTCAACTAGATTAAGATCCACTAACGTGGTTAAGGGAATTGTCAGACCGTGATTTTCGCAAGTAAAACGAATACGAGATACATATACGTACATACGCGTGTATATGTGTGCGCGCGTGTGTGTATCTGTATCTTTGATGATAAATAGCTATGACCAATAACACATACATATACGACTCTTTTTGCACACACAAAGATCTTGCTCCATCACTTTTATCAAAAAATGCAGTACGCAGTCATAGGAGCGTTACGATTATAAACGCGACGTTTAATATTTTCTATCATCTGGATGCCACTGAATGCAATTTACATTGGTAGTTAAAAAGGCAAAGACACAGCTGCAGTACCCTG